ACTCAAAAGTTTGGACACACTGTCTTGCCGTTCTATCAGACACACGAGCAATACTACTAACGACATCTTTCTGCAATGGGCGGAAACTTATTCCCATACTCAATAACTCGACAACGCATAATTCATCTAAGCACAATGCTTCGGAGGATGGCACATGTCTCGCAATTGCACGACTCTACACGCTTTCCGCGACGCGAGCTTTTCCACGCACGATCCACCCAAAGCTACGAACCCGGATCGGCAGCTTTACAGCAGCGACGGTGACGCTCGTCTCAGCGTCCTGATCCTTCAGCTCATCTCCTCGACAATTCCTCTCACGACAGCGATTCTCGAAAGGCACTCGTCAACGGCGACTTCGCATGTCCTATACAACTACAGCTCAGCCACAGCTAGAATGAGTCCCAGGAACTCTTTGCGAATTCACGCAGGCCGTTCGGTTCCCCTTCCTCAGGAGATCGTCACACCAATTGACTCCTGCTTATCACGCTGTCCGCGAATCCTTGCTCTAAAGAGCGCATAATATAATTTTCTTCCAAGGGCTCCTCTTCCGCCTAAGGCTCCGGAAATTCCCGGGCAGCGATCCTGGCAGTTCCTTTTCCAGCTCCACGTCAGAGACATATGCCCCCGACGGATGTCCGTGCAGTCCCTTAGGTGACCGGGAATTATCGCTTCCGATCGTACCCTGTAAGGGGGATGTGCGTAAGGTTTGAGGGCGTCAGCGGATTACAAGAAAATATACAAAACAATATGACTTGCGTGTTCGGGTTTCCGGATGGGCGGCCTTTCAACGTAGTGTCGCCTCTTCTTTCTTTCTTCCAATGTAGTCTTCCTTCCTCCTTTGGCGGGTGAGACAGCATAATTACAGAATAACATAACAGCCGAGTACGATCCGTGATGATCCTAACTTTAATTGTGAGACCAATCACTAAAAAAAGAAAAGTCTTAATGAAAAGAGAAAAATTATTAAACAAGAACAGACAATCACGGAGATAGCTCACGTTCGCACGCGCGCTCGCCCTCCGAAAGGAGGACATGCGATTCCACCACTGACGGTTCGCAACAGTGACAAAAATTGTTACGTCACAATACTTATTATATTTATTATATATATATATTTATTATATATATATATATATATATAGAAGTGTATACATATATAAACATAGAAACACACATTATAATACTCATAAAATTCTAATATTTCGTGTAAATATATCTGCGTGAATATCTGAGCATGAGGAACTTGTATCTCTTTTTGTTAACAACACGTAACAAAAAGAGATGAAGTAGCTACACAAGTATGTGAATATGAATTAGAAATATATTTTCTGTTTTATAATGTGTATACATCATAATACACATAAAATATTATATAATTCTAATATTCACTAATATGTCATATCAGCATGAATATCTAATGAGTAACTTTTATCTCTTATTATTATAGGCCTTCTACAATAAGCCATTAGTCATAAATCAGAAGTCAGAAGCTAAAAATTCACCAATCACAGTTGTCAATTTTTAGCATCTTACTTCTGATTTATGAATAATGATTTATTGTAGAAAGTCCATTAGACGTAATAAAAAGAGATGGAATAGCATATGTATGTGCAATGTATTTATATATTGACAATACATATTATATCCTAAGTTAAAATGGCATTGGGAATGAAGAAAAAAGTGCTATTACATTACGCGTGTATATATGTATTTCAAATAAATGTTTGCATCCGGAGATATATTTATGTCACAGTCAGAGTATTCACTTAGTAAAAATATACTTATTGTAATTTGCTGGTCAATGTATACATTGAACAATAAGTATATATATATGTACTAAAACACTTTGAATATGATATACTTATATACATTTCATAGACGTACAGCGTCGTATGAAAATTATGCATATGACTATTGATCATGTAATATATGTTATTATATATGTATAGCACATATGTGTATAACATATACAGGGTGTCTCAGAAATAGGGTAGAAGCTGCATTGGGGGCATAGAATGGGGGGGGAGGGGGATCAAAGGGAACAAAAAAGCCGCCGACGCTGCCACTGTCGAGTGAGGCGCGATGGGCCGTGAATTCGCGGCGCGGCTTCACCGCATTTTGACTTATATGTTTCCTTTTTTAATTCGAAAACTACAGCGAATATCTCAAAATGGTATTAGACTTTTTTATTCCTCTTGACCCATTCTATGTCCCCAATGCGGCTTTTATGAGACACCCTGTATATTATATAGGGTGTCCAAAAAATCAGATTCATGAGCTGAACATAAAGGTGACTAACTAATCGTGAAGGAATGTGAATTGTACTTGTATCGACATACATAGTATGCCAAAATATAGTGCGTTGACCTATGGCTGATTCACGTTCTATGACTCAGTTACAGTCATCCTTGTGCTAAGGCCCTTACATAATGTTTTTGGAAAAAATGTTTCAGACAAAAATTGTAACATTTCAAACAAAGAAACTATTTACTGATATTCAGTTTGACCTTGAGTGGTGTCTACAAGATGAAATCAAGGTCACATCCATTTTTTTTAATGATATGATGACATGTTATTTTTATTGCAGACTCTAATACACAGTTATCATTGATATGTTGACTTATACGGGGGGGGGGGATATAAGTTCTCGGTCTAATACAAAAATGATCCCACAAATATCAAATTGCTATAATTTTAGAAAAGTTTGATCCTTCACAGGATTACTGTTAAAATTTCAGATGTGATCATTAGTTTCTTTGTTTCGGTCGTGTCAAGTAATTAGCTTTTGGTTCTATCATGATAATGCATCTATTCACATTTTTTCAATTGCAGACCCAAAATTTTATGAATTGGTTTCGCAAGCATCGTATTTAATCAAATTTGATAATTGAAATGTCTCTGGCAGTAAATTAAAAATAATCAGCCTACGATTAACCTCTGACATTTGTCTATAACTAACCAAAGGGCCAAAGCATGATTTACGGCTATGGCATTTTGTTATAGCTAGCCAGCTCATAATTAACTCTGATTGGAACATAATTAGACAAAGCACAATTTACGGTTATAACATTTAACCATATCACTTGATAAATATATAAAATATCATGATAAATAAAAGTGATATTTTCACGAATGACATAAAGATACTAATCTTTTCCATTCTGGCTTTATAGAGTGCCTTCCAACAAGAAACACACATGTAGGAAGCGTGTATGTTCAGTATGTAAACTTTTATTTTTCGCACGATTCCGGCCAGGGCACTATATGAAAAAGCATCATCGCGCTTGCACTAGAAGGGAAAAAAAAGGGAAGGCTAGGTTAGGGAAAAATTGTGAGAAAAAGACTACCATGCATGGTACGGCGAAGCGTGAATAATCAGTGTATCTCCTTTTATTGTCATCTAATAAATATTGGCTCACCATTGATTCTACCTACGGAATCTTTTTATTATTCCTATAATTTGGGGGCTCAACCGAGATAAGGACCGAGGTAAGAGACAAAAGGAGAGACGAAAAGATACAAGACGGAGAAGACGCAAGACGAAAGACTGAAAAGGCGAAGAGACGAAAGACTGAAAAGACGAAAGATGAAAAAACGGGAGACGAAAAAGACATGAGAAAGAAAGACGAAAGACGATAAGACGAAAGATGATATGACGAAAGAAGAAAGACGAGACGAACAACGAAAGAAGACAAAACCGAGTACCTTAAAAACCGAGAAGGCATTGAGTGCGCAACCACAAGGTGATACAATCATTAAAAGTACACGGCAAGATTATGAACGCGCGTTGGTAACAATACATTATTAAATCTATAGTGTCAAATTTAACTTATTGTGAGTCGCCCATTGCTCTTACTCAATCATATCGTTATTTTATATTAAAACAATAGTTATATTTTACACTATACCATGTTAATTTGAAATTAAACACTAATTTAAAATGTTAATTATTTATTTAGAGTGTTTTCTCAGCAAGAGATAGACGTAACACAAACGTAACGAATTACATCCTTATTATTTGACAATATTAAACAAAGATAAAATGCTCTGTGTTACTACATTGTGTCTCTTGCTGAAAAGCAAGCTTTTATATTTGATAATATTATGTAAATATAGCTTACATAAAATAATTTATGTAGCACTGTTAAAATCATTCTATTGACACGACCCGTATAGAAAGAAACTATTGAGTATTATTAAGAACTATTGAAAAATAACTATTCAAAACTATTCAGAAAACTATTTATATTGTCAGTGGTATTATGGGACATTTAGTCTATTGAAAATACGAATAGTTTACTAATGAGGCGAATAGTAACTACAGGAATTTACCATTCATTATTACGGATTAGAATCGGAAAAGAATTAATAGTTTACTACTGGAGCAAACAGTAAGTACAAGTAGTAACTACATCTTAGCGATTTTCGAAAATTTAGTAATATTAAGTAATATGCCAGTTCGCAATTGTCCAGGATAGTAATCATTTTATAACATTTTTAGAAAATAATGTTTTAATTAGAGATGGACTAAACGATTATTTTTCATTAACAGTTACTGTTACTTCAAAATAATTGATAATTTAAACAATCATCGATTATATAAACGGTTATTTTTTATAATACCTTATATCCTAGTCAGTAGTCACATTTTTTTTATTATTTCTCATTATTTAAGAAATCCATTCTGAAATATTTCGTTATTTAAAATATTTGTGCAAACAAATAATTATAAAGTATTAAATTTTATGCACAAAGATTGATGTCAACTTGGTAATAAGTAAAACCAATATTATATGGGTCTGTTTTGGTCAATTATGTAGTCGCGAATAGTTACTTTTCAGAACTATTTGCCAATAGTCCTAATTACTATTTAATTACTATTCACGCACGCAGTCGCCAAATAACTATAGAAATTGAATAGTAACTACAGGAATCTGAATAATCTGTGAATCTTTTTTGAATACACTGTATATAAATTCCAAAAATTCAAGCAGTTTTAAATTTTAAAAATTAATCATATTGATTCCGCCGTTTCGGATCAACTTTGATCAGATTAGTATTAACTTATTCAGTGATTTAAAAAATTCTTCTATTTGAATAATGATTAAAAAATATTTAACAGATCTCTAATGGCTTATATACAGAATGTTCAAAAAACCATTCAGCATTTGATAGATACCACACTGAGAAAAAATCTGAATAAACATAGATCAAAAGATATCTTGAAACTAACGTGGTTCTAATATTAACACATATAAAAAATAAGAGCATAAAAAACCACAGCACAAGTTATAGTTTGTGATATTTAATTATTATTACATTAATTAAAACATTAAACATTTCGGCCACAATCTGGCCATCTTCAGTAATTCAATAATATTCTTAAAACGCAGAGTTACATCTAGTTGAATTCAACAGTCGAGAGTTATAATTAAATAAACATGTTCTTTTATATGTGAAGATGC